ACTTAACCTAAGTAAACCTAACTTAACCTAACTTATTTTTACATATATATAAAGGCAACTTGTTCTAATCTAACCTGACCTATCTTAAGCAAACTTGAGCAAACTTAAATTAATCTGCCCTAAGCTAACCTCACCTAACCAAAGCTAACCTTACTAACTTGATGTTACCTAAGCTAATCTCACCTAACTTGATGCAACCTAGACTAACCTAACTTAATATAGGCTAAACAGACCTAAATTATAATAAACTAATCTGACCTAACTTAGCTAATCTACCCTAACCTATATTAACCTAAGAACAAAGGAATAAAGGAAACTGCAGAAGGCCTACTGGCCCTTACGAGGCTGCTCCTATTTAAGTTCACACAATCTCATTAATACACATGTCTAACCTACGCTGGAAACAATACAGGATCTCACGTCCATGATATTATTCGATATCACATAAGGGGAGAATATTATATCTATAGTTAAATATCCAAATTACTACTTACCCAGGTCTTTCACGAATATATATATATTTATTGAATATATATTCATTGTTTCGAGTTCTATTTTGTCTTGATACATTTACAACCAGATTTATATCCCCTTTGTTATAATTTGTTATTCATGTACATACTTCAATCGTGTAACCTATTACTTTTCTTCTTCCTAGAGATTGTAAATTGAGCTTTTTCAATCTATTATCACAAGACAGATTGAACAAATCCTTGGTTTAAATCCAAGAATTAAATTCGTCATTTTTTTTCTGCACGTGTTCATGTGAATTTCTGACCGTTGTAGGGTACAGAAACTAATTTTTTTTTATTAACACATTTAGGTACATCTGCATTTGTGCAGCTTCCCTAGACTATATGAAGGGGAGTACAGTGGGTAAAAAAAACTAGCTACGTGATGCTACAAATCCCCATCACACAGGATGGTTAGTCATACAGAGGCATGTGATCAGTAGTCTGTACTGGCAGACTCTGGGAGCATTATGAGGATATCATCATCAACACAAGAGTGAATAAGGCAGCAGTGATACTAAAAGTCCCCATCTCGCAGGATGGTTAGTCATACAGGGCCATACGTTCAGTAGCCTGCACTGGCAAATTTTGGGTACACTGTTAGGATATCTTCAAGAACACGAGAGTGAATAAAGTAATTGCAAAGCTCCAGGTACCTCATGCCAACGGGTCTGAATGATCTAATAACTGGGCATTCGGTGATGTAATGTGGGAGATCATGCCGCAGTTCCTGCTCACAGAGTTTGCACCTGGAGTGCTCAGGATTGGGAGATCCGTCACCTGTATCCACCTGCCACAGGTAACGGTAACCCAATCTGATCCTGGCAACCACTGTATCGCAGTCTGGTCTACGTTTTGTGCTGCCCTTAAACATAGGTTTCAGATCTGAACAAATCATAGCTTTTTATACTGGTGCTTTCAGGTACTGGGAGTCAATAATTTCTCTCCTATCAGACCTGAGTGATTTGTACAATATAGTTTTGGTTGGAACAATATAGTTTTGACAGCAGAGATGGGGATTCCTAGGTCTAATTCAATTTCATCTGTGTTACATGCTAATTTGGCTGCAATGTCTGTCTCATTATGATGGGTTATATTGATGTGTGATGGTGTCCATACAAATGAGATTCGAAACCCTTTACTCTGAGCAGCAATCAGGTCATTTATAATTACTAGCATGAGGTTCTTGCTGTCGTTTCCAGGAAAAGTTTTGAATTGCTTGAAGAGCAGACTTTGAATCACAAAATATTATTCCTCCTCCAATGTTTTTTAATGTACTGGTAGCTAGTTGTAATGCTGCTAGTTCTGCTTGTGTGGAGGCCAGCCAGTTGTTTAACCTGACACTGACAGTCTTTGTGCAAATATTATTTCTATAAAACCTACATGCTGTGCAGTCCGTCCAGTAGAGGATTGGACTGAGCCGTCGGTGTAGACACAGTGCTCGTGAGATCTTAAATTCTCGATCGAGGAGGTAATTGTTTCAAGTGTGACAGCTTTGAGAAGAGCACGATTCTCATTTCCTTTCTTGGTGACAGGTGTGTATGATACTTGAATGGTTGGGTACAGATAAAGGGGAATATCAGAGACAGGTAGATTGCACTTAAAAGGAATGTTGAGTTTGATGAGATTGTAGGCATTTTTGCTCAGTCATTTATCATAAAAGGAGTGAGTTGGTATGTCAGCACCAGTCAATAGGGTGTTAACAGCACTAAATAATTTGTCTCTGAGCAAAGCAGGAGATGTAGGATCTCTCATGACTTTAAGGCAAAAGGTCGTGTTGACTTGTATGATTCTCTCTAGTATGGTTGGAAGCTTCAGTTCTTTCCTCTTGTTGATGATTCTTGTGCATCTTGGGGCACCAAGAATTATCCTCATGGCTTCATTCTGTACTACTTCAAGTTTGTTCAACACAGAGACGGAGAAGTCAATTAGGTCCAAGGCATGATAATCAACTAGAGATCTAAGAAACGTCATATAGAATAATCTAGCATATTTAACATTGATACCAATATTCTTACCAGTAAGTGTTTTAAGTGGTTTAAGTCTTTCTTTTAACCTGCTGTGTAGATCATTTACAATGTCACTGTTAATACCAACTCCAAGGTATTAGTGCTGCCTACACGTTTCAATGTTCTGGTTGTTGACCTTGAAAGTTATAGAGACATGAGTTTTCCCTTATAGATGGAGAGCTCTGGATTTAGTTATAGAGATAACAAGACCACATTCAATGCTCTTAGCAGCGAGTGAATCAAGTAGAGCTTGCAATCTAGTCTGGGTATTTTCAACAATACATATGTCATCGGCATAACAGATGACGGCTTCGTCAGGTAGTGTGGGAATATTAATTGTGAATTTGTGCATCAGAACATTGAACAGTGTGGGACTTAGCACTCCACCCTGGGGTGTACCCAACTCAAAGGGTGCACAAAGTTTACTTTTGACCCCCTTGAAAAGGACTGAGGCGGTTCTGTTACTCAGGTAACCCTGAGTCATGTCAACAGTCTTCCCTTAACTCCAAAAAAGGCTAGTTGTTCTAAGATTATTTCTCTGTTTGCTGTATCAAAAGCAGTTTGGAGGTCAATAAATGCCGCCTGAGAGCTTGGTCCCTCTCTAATAAAATATTCAGCAAAGCAAGTCTGTGTGCTTCTTCCAGGAAGGAAACGATACAGATTAGGAGCAGGGTGAGGCTTGATTTGAAACATTAATCTGTCGAGTATAATCGGCCACCATAATTGTTTACTGACAAACCAGCAAGTTTACCCAAATCCTGAACATAGTCCTGGCCTAATGTAAACTCTCAGTGTTTATACAGTCAGCAGTAGTTTATACATCTTCGTGTATATATCCCCTGTTAGATGTTATATTTCGAACGCTTCTAGAAATATAACCCATTATCCTATCTTCTTTACGGCATACAACGGGTTTTACTTTATTCACTCTCGTGTTCTTGAAGATATCCTTATATTGCACACAAAATTTGCCAGTGTAGGCTACTGAACGTATGGTTGTGTATGACTAACCATGCACTGATTTTTCAGGGTTAATATTTCTAGTAGTTCTATTGATTTTGTATTCAGATTTTGTGATATAAACATCGTTCAAATGATATCCGGTAACTATCATCATTGCTTAAATTCAGGGAATTACACTTGCGAGCAGTAAACTGCATCTGCTAATCTTTTGTTCATTATAAAAAAAAACATTCAATATCGTCTTAAACTGAATTTGTCTTCATCTGAATTTATTTCCCGCCCTGCTTTTGTGCCATGAAAATTTCAGCTTATCCTCCTGTTTTGGTAGTACTTAAGTAACGATGAGGACCATAGTATATATACCAACGTATAACGAAATTAGAAGGAAGAACTCGGCACTATTGAAAATTTACAAATGTTGCTGTTCATTCCAGGGTTTAAATCGCTTATGTATTTGTAAACAACAGAGGTCCCAGATCTCCTACTTAGGGTAACCTGACTTATGCTAATGACAGGTTACATAATTACACTTATGAAAGTGTGAGAGCGTGACAGTGACAGTATGCCAGTGTGAGGGAGTTGAAACATGCCAGGAAGTGTGACTGACAGAGACAGTATGCCAGACGCTTAAACAGCTGTGACATCAGGTGAACTGACTTCCTCTCATTACCATCTTGACATCAGGACGTCTAGTATTCTCGGCAACTCAGGCATCATCTAGTAATTACTATCTTGACGTAAAGATGTCATAAATTTAATCACGGCCTCTTGGGGGGTTATATAATTAAGAACATTATTATTAATAGCGGCATTATACATTGTTTTAGTCTTCAAAAAGTACTTCGGTGATGGGAGAATGCTACAGGAAGCAACTTCTCTCTTACAGGAAGTTGCACATGCTGATGAATAAGCTGGACAAACAATAGCGGATCTACTGTGTAACAAACAAAGCTTTAGTTTCAGGGTCCCATAATCCCGGTGGGGCCCCAGAAGCGATTTTAGTCCACACAGCTTAACAATTTTGAGTCTACAACTCATATTTAATTAAATATACGAGATATTGTGATTCAATTACAAAAGAAAAACAATTGTGGTGATTTGTCGTGCAACAACTCCATTGAAGAAGGTTGATGAAGGAGTGCCGCAAAGTTGCTGACGAAGGGCCGCAAAGTTACTGAAGAATGGCCGCAAAGTTGCTGAAGAAATGGCCGCAAAGTTGCTGAAGAAGGGCCATAAATTTGCTGAACGAGAGCCGCAAAGTTGCTGAAGGAGAGTTACAAAGTTGCTGAAGGAGGGCCACAAAGTTGCTGAAGGAGAGCTACAAAGTTGCTGAAGGAGGGCCGCAAAGTTGCTGAAGGAGAGCTACAAAGTTGCTGAAGGAGGGCCACAAAGTTGCTGAAGGAGAGCTACAAAGTTGCTGAAGGAGGGCCGCAAAGTTGCTGAAGGAGAGCTACAAAGTTGCTGAAGGAGGGCCACAAAGTTGCTGAAGGAGGGCCACAAAGTTGCTGAAGGAGAGCTACAAAGTTGCTGAAGGAGGGCCGCAAAGTTGCTGAAGGAGGGCCACAAAGTTGCTGAAGGAGGGCCACAAAGTTGCTGACAAAGTTGCTGAAGGAGGGCCACAAAGTTGCTGAAGGAGGGCCACCACAAAGTTGCTGAAGGAGGGCCACAAAGTTGCTGAAGGAGGGCCACAAAGTTGCTGAAGGAGGGCCACAAAGTTGCTGAAGGAGGGCCACAAAGTTGCTGAAGGAGGGTTGCTGAAGGACAAAGTTGCTGAAGGAGGGCCACAAAGTTGCTGAAGGAGGGCCACAAAGTTGCTGAAGGAGGGCCACAAAGTTGCTGAAGGAGGGCCACAAAGTTGCTGAAGGAGGGCCGCAAAGTTGCTGAAGGAGGGCCGCAAAGTTGCTGAAGGAGGGCCACAAAGTTGCTGAAGGAGGGCCGCAAAGTTGCTGAAGGAGGGCCACAAAGTTGCTGAAGGAGGGCCGCAAAGTTGCTGAAGGAGGGCCACAAAGTTGCTGAAGGAGAGCCACAATGTTGCTGAAGGAGGGCCGCAAAGTTGCTGAAGGAGGGCCGCAAAGTTGCTGAAGGAGGGCCACAAAGTTGCTGAAGGAGGGCCACAAAGTTGCTGAAGGAGGGCCACAAAGTTGCTGAAGGAGGGCCTCAAAGTTGCTGAAGGAGGGCCGCAAAGTTGCTGAAGGAGGGCCACAAAGTTGCTGAAGGAGGGCCACAAAGTTGCTGAAGGAGGGCCACAAAGTTGCTGAAGGAGAGCCACAAAAGTTGCTGAAGGAGGGCCGCAAAGTTGTTGAAGGAGGACCACAAAGTTGCTGAAGGAGGGCCACAAAGTTGCTGAAGGAGGGCCGTTGCAAAGTTGCTGAAGGAGGGCCACAAAGTTGCTGAAGGAGGAAGGAGGACCACAAAGTTGCTGAAGGAGGACCACAAAGTTGCTGAAGGAGGGCCGCAAAGTTGCTGAAGGAGGGCTACAAAGTTGCTGAAGGAGGGCCGCAAAGTTGCTGAAGGAGGGCCACAAAGTTGCTGAAGGAGAGCCACAATGTTGTTGAAGGAGGGCCGCAAAGTTGCTGAAGGAGGGCCAAAAAGTTGCTGACAGAGGGCCACAAAGTTGCTGAAGGAGGGCCACAAAGTTGCTGTAGGAGGGCCGCAAAGTTGCTAAAGGAGGGCCACAATGTTGTTGAAGGAAGGCCACATAGTGCTGAGGAAGGTCGACAAAGTTGTTGAAGGAGGGCCACAAAGTTACTGAAGGAGGGCCACAAAGTTACTGAAGGAGGGCTACAAAGTTGCTGAAGGAGGGGCTACAAAGTTGCCGATGTAGAGTTACAAGGTTGTTGATGTATGGTTGCAAGGTTATTGAAGGAGGGCCACAAAGTTGCTGAGGAAGGTCCACAAAGTTGCTGAAGGAGGGCCGCAAAGTTGCTGAGGAAGGTCCACAAAGTTGCTGAAGGAGGGCCACAAAGTTGCCGAAGGAGGGCCACAAAGTTGCTGAGGAAGGTCCACAAAGTTGCTGAAGGAGAGCCACAAAGTTGCTGAAGGAGGGGCCACAAAGTTGCTGAAGAAGGGCCACAAAGTTGCCGAAGGAGGGCCACAAAGTTGCCGAAAGAGGGCCACAAGGTTGCTGATATAGGGTTACAAAGATGATGGAGGAGGTCACTAAGATGTTGATGGAGGTCTAAGTTTGCTAAAGAAAAAAATTGGTATCTGGAATGATTTCCAACCAAATATAGTATGGCTTTTTCTATCAGTACTGTCTATTGGACAACACAAAATATACAAGGGATTCCAAAGGTCAAACAGCAACAGACTAATTAGCCTCATGGCGATAGGCTGTAGGTTAACAAAAGAAAAAATAGAACTTAATTGTCAAGTAAATTGAGCATTATTCTTAATTACTTTTATCAAGAAAGCTGTTGAATGTTGAATAAGGAAAATATATATTTCGTCGTTGAACTCAAATAGTTCGCATATATCTGTGTCATATTTATTTCGAGTTGCTTTGTATTGGAACTAATAAAGTATAGGATTCTAGATTAGCAGTCCCTTTGATATTATTAAACACATTTTATTACAACGCCTAATATTCGTCCTTAAATATTTAATAAATTCAGCTGATTTAAATGGTTTAGATTCTCATGAATTACGTCTTAGTGTGGACATTGTCTATCTTAGAGTCCAAATATCCTGCAGAATTAAACCTACACTGTCTACTGAGTTTAACTGTATCACTTCCATTATAAACCACTATTGCTCGTAGACATTTATTTGTATTGCGTCTAATATTATCTCTATGGTGTTCATCCAGTTGTTTTCATTTCACTTTATATTTCTAATATGTTGTTGAATTTTCCATTGACAACATAACTTATTATCAATATGAAGCAAATATTCAAATGGGACTAAGATGTATTAATTAATACAGAATAATACACAAATTTTGAAAAATAATACAAATTTTGTGTTTTTTAAGTTTAATGAATAATTAAAAAATATATAAAATGGGGCATTTTTTTTTTTTTTACAAAATTTAAAGTTTAATACCGAAACGGCGTAGAATTTGTACAGATTTGACAAAATATACAGTATTCGCAAATGTTTGAAAATGCCCCATGAAGAAATAATTCTATCCAGCCTAACACAACAGAAGACATGCACGGACGCCATTTTCTTTTTCAGTGTAGGGAAGGTATGGATGGCGACGGTGAGAGGCGCGGCGGGCGCCCCCTCCCAGCGGGGCTCCGGGCCAACCAGCCCTCCACCACTTACACCGCCACCATTCTGCCCGCCACTCACTCCTGCCACTATCCATACTTCCCGCCTCCATCTTTCCCGCCACCAGACTTCCCGCCACCAGCCTTCCCGCCACCAGCCTTCCCGCCTCCCACTCCCGCCACCAGCCTTCCCGCCTCCTTCTTTCCCGCCACCCATTCCCGCCATCAGCCTTCCCGCCACCAGCCTTCCCGCTACCAGCCTTCCCGCCACCAGCCTTCCCGCCTCCCACTCCCGCCACCAGCCTTCCTATATGCTCACTGTTACTCTCATTATCCCAACTCCCTCTGTATCTCATCCATCGACAGTGCCACCCACTCTTCCAGCATCTTCACCACCCCGACCACCAATATTACCGAGACACACACACACACACACACATACATTTGATAATCATAATAATCTAAACCATAATAATCTCCTCCTCATGATCTTTGATGATGCAAAGATTATAGGAGGATTATGACAGGAAGATTGTATGAGGCTACATGATGACCTAGACAAACTGAATGAATGGTCCAACAAATGGGTACTAAAGTTCAACCCGAGTAAATGTATGGTAATGAAACTAGGAGGAAATAGGCCAAAACAAGATACCGCATGGGAGAAGTCCTTCATGAAACGGACAGAGAGAAAGATCTAGGAGTTGATATCACAACAAACCTGTCTCCTGAAGCCCACATAACAAGAATAACATCGGCGGCGTATGCAAGGCTGGCTAACATCAGAACTACCTACAGGAACCTGTGTAAGGAATCATTCAGAACCTTGTACACCACATATGTAAGACCAATCCTGGATTATGCAGCCCCAGCATGGAGCCCGTACCTTGTCAAGCACAAGACGAAGCTGGAAAACGTTCAGAGGTATGCCACTAGGCTAGTCCCAGAACTAAGAGGCATAAGTTACGAGGAAAGGCTGCGAGAAATGCACCTCACGACTCTGGAAGACAGAAGAGTAAGGGAAGATATGATCACTACCTACAAAATTCTCAGAGGAATTGATAAGGAAGATAAGGATAAGCTGTTTAACACGAGGGGTACGCGAACAAGGGGACACAGGTGGAAACTGAGTACCCAAATGAGCCACAGGGACGTTAGAAAGAAGTTTTTCAGTGTCAGTGTAGTTAACAGATGGAATGCATTAGGTAGTGATGTGGTGGAGGCTGACTCCATACACAGTTTCAAATGTAGATATGATAGAGCCAAGTAGGCTCAGGAATCTGTACAGTTGATTGACAGTTGAGAAGCAGGACCAGTTAGCCAGAGCTCAACCCCCGCAAGCACAATTAGGTAAGTACACACACACACACACACACACACACACACACACACACACACACACACACACACACACACATCCTGAGTGGATATTATATATATATATATATATATATATATATATATAGGATAAACATTACATGTGCATGAGTACACGCACCAGATGCTCAAACACTTAGATAAACACAGCTACTTGAGTACAAAGAACATTTACTGTTGTGAGTACAATAGATGAACAGTAAACCATTTATAACAGGGAAGAGAATAGACAACACTGAGTATAACATATAACAGGGGTGAGAGTATACAACATGAAGTATAACATATATCAGGGGTGAGAGTATACAACATGAAGTATAACATAACAGGGGAGAGAGTATACAACATGAAGTATAACATATAACAGGGGAGAGAGTATACAACATGAAGTATAACATATAACAGGGGAGAGAGTATACAACATGAAGTATAACATATAACAGGGGTGAGAGTATACAACATGAAGTATAACATATATCAGGGGTGAGAGTATACAACATGAAGTATAACATATAACAGGGGTGAGAGTATACAACATGAAGTATAACATATATCAGGGGTGAGAGAGTATACAACATGAAGTATAACATATAACAGGGGTGAGAGTATACAACATGAAGTATAACATATAACAGGGGTGAGAGTATACAACATGAAGTATAACATAACAGGGGTAGAGTATACAACATGAAGTATAACATATAACAGGGGTGAGAGTATACAACATGAAGTATAACATATAACAGGGGTGAGAGTATACAACATGAAGTATAACATATAACAGGGGTGAGAGTATACAACATGAAGTATAACATAACAGGGGAGAGAGTATACAACATGAAGTATAACATAACAGGGGTGAGAGTATACAACATGAAGTATAACATAACAGGGGAGAGAGTATACAACATGAAGTATACACATATAACAGAGAGTATACAACATGAAGTATAACATATAACAGGGGTGAGAGTATACAACATGAAGTATAACATATAACAGGGGTGAGAGTATACAACATGAAGTATAACATAACAGGGGAGAGAGTATACAACATGAAGTATAACATATAACAGGGGAGAGAGTATACAACATGAAGTATAACATATAACAGGGGTGAGAGTATACAACATGAAGTATAACATATATCAGGGGTGAGAGTATACAACATGAAGTATAACATATAACAGGGGTGAGAGTATACAACATGAAGTATAACATAACAGGGGAGAGAGTATACAACATGAAGTATAACATATAACAGGGGAGAGAGTATACAACATGAAGTATAACATATAACAGGGGTGAGAGTATACAACATGAAGTATAACATATATCAGGGGTGAGAGTATACAACATGAAGTATAACATATAACAGGGGTGAGAGTATACAACATGAAGTATAACATAACAGGGGAGAGAGTATACAACATGAAGTATAACATATAACAGGGGAAAGAGTATACAACATGAAGTATAACATATAACAGGGGTGAGAGTATACAACATGAAGTATAACATATATCAGGGGTGAGAGTATACAACATGAAGTATAACATATAACAGGGGTGAGAGTATACAACATGAAGTATAACATATAACAGGGGTGAGAGTATACAACATGAAGTATAACATATAACAGGGATGAGAGTATACAACATGAAGTATACCAAATATGAGGGGTCGAGATAAAGGGCAATTAACAGGAAACTGTTTATCTGTCACAAAACATAGGACAAAGTCATTAAAAGAATGTTTTATGCCTAAGAATAAATTAGTTGTATTTTGAACACAATTGGCAAGTACCGAATACAATTGGTAGTATTCGGAACATAATTGGTTACGTTTTGAATACAATTGATTGTATTTTGAACATAATTGGTTAGGTTTTAAATACAATTGGTTAGGTTTTAAATACAATTGGTTAGGTTTTAAATACAATTGGCCTTTTTTTTAACATAATGAGTAGTAAATTGAACAGCTCGATCTTAATGGAGCTACGCATATAATGGCAGGAAAAATACATGCCGCCATTTTCAAAGTAAACCACATGTTTTATACACGTAAATTAGCTTCTTATCCACCATGAACTTGAATACAGCGAACAACGTTTCCTCTGAGAGACTTGTTAACAAACTCAGTCATATTCTCGCCTCGACATTTGCATGTAATCTGCATATCATGATCATGGCAGAGGCAGAAACGTCGTGATGAACTTTAAGAATCTTGATGGAATAAAGAAGAAAAAGAGCGATCTTCGAAAAGAGCGGTCTTCGAAAAGAGCAGTCTTCGAAAAGAGCAGTCTTCGAAAAGAGCAGTCTTCGAAAAGAGCGGTCTTCGAAAAGAGCGGTCTTCGAAAAGAGCGGTCTTCAAAAAGAGCGGTCTTCGAAAAGAGCGGTCTTCGAAAAGAGCAGTCTTCGAAAAGAGCGGTCTTCGAAAAGAGCGGTCTTCGAAAAGAGCGGTCTTCGAAAAGAGCAGTCTTCGAAAAGAGCAGTCTTCGAAAAGAGCGGTCTTCGAAAAGAGCGGTCTTCGAAAAGAGCAGTCTTCGAAAAGAGCAAGCAGTCTTCGAAAAGAGCAGCCTTCGAAAAGAGCAGTCTTCAAAAAGAGCAGTCTTCGAAATAATCTGATATCTATCAGATTATTTCGAAGACTGCTCTTTTTCTTCTATATTATTGAAGTTGAAGCTGTTTCTCACGGTCTAATTTGTCTGGTTAAGTCAGTGTTCAGGGATTTGATTAAAACATTACAGCCCGTCCTCATAAACAAAGGCCAAAAACCATTCCATGCAGTCCTACTCTCTACAGGAGATAATTGTAATTCATTTAGTAAAAGTAAACGATTTCTTATTCGATATATCACCCAATGGTTTGCGCCAACATCCAGTACATAAGAATTAGGGGCATGCCACAGCATGCCTGTTGGCCTGTTGACTAATAGGGTCCTGTTTATATCCACAGCCCCTCTATTGGCCCATACTAGGCGGATTCACCCCCACTCTCTCACATGTCCCTATCCAAACTATTTTTTAAATCTGTTAAACTGTTTAATGTTAAATGGCGACCCATGTCGATCATTTCCAAACCATTACTTTCCTATATCCCAACCATAAAGGAAATGTATCCCCGTTATATCAATTGTTTCCAGATTCTGACGTGTTTTAACCCGGAGGATAGTTCGATGTTGATAAGACCCCCCTGATAGACAATTCATTGATGACACTCTACACTCCACAATCCCTGTTGGTTTACCTCCTAACTACACGGGTCCGTGTCGTTACAATCCCTGTCAGAGAAAACCCCTGTCCTTTACTGTCAGTTGACAATTCCCTATTGGGAAACCCCCTACCAGACAATTCCCTAATGCCAAACTCCCCCCACCCTTGTCAAACAAATAACTACTGAACAATTCTTTGTACTATAAGATAAATGTAAACAATTCATAAACATTAACGTTTCCTATTCTGTACACATACGCTATAGTTAAAGTCGCAGAAATTCAGCTCTGAGCTTGTTTGCTAGTTTCCACACCCTGAAGAAAGCAATGGTATCGCTTGTCAATATTAAAGCAGGAGGAATGGGGTCGAAATTTTGTGTCCACGCTACATCTCTTTATGAATTCATCATTATCCTGAGTGGCAGCGAGTAACACAAAGTTGAATTTTCAAATTTGTAAATTAAATATGTATAATATCTGATGCAGTAGATTATAGCCTCATGAAATATGTGAGTTTAAATCTACAATTTAGACCTATCGTGTCATATATGACCCTGACCAATGTACAGTACTGAAATTGAGAATAATTTGTATTTATTTTATTTCTGTTCGCAAGAAAGTTATTCTTGTAAACTGTTCTTGTTCTTCTTACAAACACTCTTAAAGCTTTATGTGGACCAAGTATTAGAGGGGATTTAATGAGGTTTTTAATGTTTCATATTGACATAATATGCAAGAAAATTGAAAATACAATAATTATGCTACT